GACCCGTCGGCCAATAGAGCGGCCATAGACCAAGCAAGTCCAGGGTTTCTGCTGCATTCCAGGTTTTGGGAGCCAGGATGGACCTGCTAATGACTGTGTAAGAAGCAGGAGAAGGGTAAGCGGAACCACTGTGTGGAGTGTGTCTGTGGGATCCCATGTGGAGGTGAAAGTGTTTTGTGTGGCTGAGACATGGCATAGCTATGAAGTGAGTGTGGAGTCCTGATCCGCGGTTCCGTGTTCTCTGCGACAAGAGTGGCTGGAGACAAACACAACACAAAACAAATACGTTTCGTCTAAGTGTTTTGTGAGACCAAGACGTGGCATAGCTACAAAGCGTATTTGTCTTGTATTGTATCTATTTGTTTTTCTGTATATGTCTCTCCTTAGTGTTAAAGATTACAGTGTTTAAGCGGTGGGGGAGGAGTAGACGAAAGTAAACTGTGGCTAACTGGGGGGTTAAGAAGACTTCCCTCTCTGCGCCCCAGTGGCTGTATAAGAGAAGGCCTAAAAATGGAACTCTGAACTATAACACATTGTTACAATTCATGTTGTTTTGAGGCAGCAAGGAAAATGGGATGAAATAATGTATGCAGATACGTTTTTCACTTTAAGAAACCACCCAGAGTGACAGACTGAATGTAAAATTAATATAGCTCCACCAGATCCCTTAATTTTGGCTTTGGAAAAGGACAGGGAAAAACTGAAAGTTAAGATGGAGAATGATATTTAAAGTTAAAAAAAAAAAAAACAAACAACAAAACAAACAGTAATCAGGAAGATGGGTAGGAAAATCATGTATCACAATTACCTCCGAGAGGAGCACACCCTATATCTGTCTTATCAGATGCTGATAAGAAGTAGATTGCTGTCACTGGCAACAAGCAGCAGACTCACAGAGTTAAGAAAGGGTTAAACCAGAAGTGCTGCTGCAGAGGCAGGCATCTGCAGCCCCTGCAGAGCAGGGTGAGCAGCTGTGAGAGAGAAAAAAAAAAGGAAAAAGAAGGGGGAAAGGAGGGGAGCTTACTCAACTCCTGTGTTTGAGCATGGGATGGGTGCTGGGGCAGGCAAACAAGTGGGAAGCATTCTATAGACAGGAAAAGCCTCACACTCACAGGCCCTTGTTCTCATGGGGGAGTTCAACCACCCTGACATCTGTTGGAAGGATGGTACAGCCCGGCACAAGCAATCCAGGAAGTTCCTCGATTGTGTGGAAGACAACTTCCTTCTGCAAGTAATAGAGGAGCTGACAAGGAGAGGTGCCATGATTGACCTCTTGCTCACCAACAGGGAAGGGCTAGTTGGAAATGTGACGCTCTAGGGCAGCCTTGGATGCAGACATCACGAGATGGTCAAATTTGAGATCCTCAGGACAGAGAAGAGCGTGCAGCAAGCTCACTGCCCTGGACTTCAAAAGAGCAGACTTTGGCCTCTTCAGGAACCTGCTTAGGAAGGTTCCATGGGACATAACCCTAGAGGGCAGGGGGGCCCAAGCCTCATGGTTGATATTCAAGGATCACCTGCTGCAAGCTCAGGAGTGTTGCATCCAAACTAGAAAGAAATTCAGCAGGAGGGCCAGGAGACCTCCTTGGATGGATAAGGAGCTCCTGAGGAAAATTCATTTGAAAAAAGAGGCTTATAATAAGTGGAAGCAAGGACAGGTGGCACGGGAAGAGTACAGGGATGTTGTCCGAGAAGCCAGGGACCAGGTTAGGAAAGCTAAGGCCCAGTTAGAATTGAACTTGGCTAGGGGTATTAAGGATAACAGGAAGGGATTCTACAGGTACATAGCAAATAAAAAACAGACTAGGGAGAATGTAGGCACCCTCAGGAAGCTCTCAGGAGAACTGGCTACACAGGATTTGGAAAAGGCTGAGGTTCTGAATGAAGTCTTTGCCTCTGTCTTCACAGGCAAATGCTCTGACCACACCACCCAAGTCCTGGAAGGCAGACGCAGGGACTGTGAGAATGAAGACCTTGAGCCCACTGTAGGAGAAGATCTGGTTCGAGACCATCTTAAAAATCTGAATGTGCACAAGTCCATGGGACCTGATGAAATCCATCAGCGGGTCCTGAAGGAGCTGGCAAATGCAGTTGTGAAGCCGCTGGCCATAATAGTTGAGAAATCATGGCAGTCAGGTGAAGTTCCCGATGACTGGAAAAAGGGAAATATAACCCCCATTTTCAAGAAGGGGAAAATGGATGACCCGGGGAATTACAGACCAGTCAGTCTCACCTCTGTGCCTGGCAAAATCTTGGAGCAGATACCCCTGGAAGGCATGCTAAGGCACATGAAAAACAACAAGGTTCTTGGTGACAGCCAGCATGGCTTCACTAAGGGGAAATCCTGCCTGACCAATTTGGTGGCCTTCTATGACGGGGTTACAGAACTGATGGACAGGGGTAGAGCAGTTGATGTCATCTACCTGGACTTGTGTAAAGCATTCGACACTGTCCCACACGACATCCTTGTCTCTAAATTGGAGCGACATCAATTTGATGGATGGACCACTCGGTGGATAAAGAAATGGCTGGATGGCTGCACACAAAGAGTTCTGGTCAATGGCTCAGTGTCCGGCTGGAGACCAGTAATGAGCGGTGTCCCTCAGGGATTGGTGTTGGGACCGGTCTTGTTTAACATCTTCATCGCTGACATGGACAGGGGGATTGAGTGTGCCCTCAGCAAGTTTGCTGATGACACCAAGCTGTGTGGTTCGGTTGATACCCTGGGGGGAAGGAATGCCATCCAGAGGGACCTCGACACACTTGTGAGGTGGGCTGATGCAAACCTCATGAAGTTTAACCGTAACAAGTGCAAGGTCATACACCTGGGTCGGAGCAATCCCAGGCACAGCTACAGGTTGGGCAAAGAAGAGATTCAGGGCAGCCCTGCAGAGAAGGACTTGGGGGTGCTGGTTGATGAGAAAATGAACATGGGCCAGCAGTGTGCACTTGCAGCCCAGAAAGCCAACGTTATCTTGGGCTGCATCAAAAGGAGTGTGGCCAGCAGGTCGAAGGAGGTGATCCTGCCCCTCTACTCTGCTCTTGTGAGACCTCACCTGGAGTATTGTGTGCAGTTCTGGTGTCCTCAACATAAAAAGAACATGGAACTGTTGGAACAAGTCCAGAGAAGAGCCACAAGGATGGTCAGGGGACTGGAGCACCTCCCATATGAAGACAGGCTGAGGAAGTTGGGGCTGTTCAGCCTGGAGAAGAGAAGGCTGTGTGGAGACCTCATAGCAGCCTTCCAGTATCTGAAGGGGGCCTACAGGGATCCTGGGGAAGGACTTTTCATTAGGGACTGTAGTGACAGGACAAGGGGTAACGGGTTAAAACTTAAACAGGGGAAGTTTAGATTGGATATAAGGAGGAAATTCTTTCCTGTTAGGGTGGTGAAGCACTGGAATGGGTTGCCCAGGGAGGTTGTGAATGCTCCATCCCTGGCAGTGTTCAAGACCAGGTTGGACAAGGCCTTGGGTGATATGGTTTAGTGTGAGGTGTCCCTGCCCATGGCAGGGGGGTTGGAACTAGATGATCTTAAGGTCCTTTCCAACCCTAACTATTCTATGATTCTGTGTTGACAGATGGGACCGAGGTGTCATTGAATAAATGTGGATTGGAGTGAAGGAGGAAGCATGGAGAGCATATAGGAATCGGGGACAGGTAGCAAAGAAAAAGCTGGGCCATGCTATAGCCACGACTACGGTGGTTGCTTTGAAACTGGTGGAAGGAAGAATGTCAGGCAGAGGTGGGGGAGTGGGCTCTTCTGTGGCACCAGATCAGTGTGCATGCTATGGGGAGTTTGGACACTGGAAGTGAGACTGCCCTGGGGGGGAGTGCCATGGGGTGGCTCCAGTGACTGAACTGGAACTAGACTGACAGGGACCAGGGGAATCTTCCCTAGCAGATCCACTGGTTATAATGAAGCTAGGGGACAAAGAAAAGGAAGTGAAATTTTTAGTTGATACGGGCACAACGTATTCAGTTTTAAACAAAGCTTTAATGCCTTTGGGGGATGATTATATTATGGTAAAAGGGGTGACTGGCCAAAATGAAAAGGCTTATTTTTGTAAACCATTGAAATATCAATTGGAAAAGCAATGGGGCATTCATAAATTCTTATGTATGCCTAACTCCTCAAAAGCTCTCCTAGGGAGAGACTTACTGGAACATTTGGGAGCAACTATTACTTTCCAAGGAGGCAAGATCGCTTTAGAAGTAAATGACCAACAGTACATAGAGACATTTAGTTTTGATCACTAATCACGTTGAGGAAGAAGTCCAGGAAGATATACTGGATCAGGTATTCCCAGGAGTATGGGCCACAAATGTACCTGGAAAAGCCAAAAATGCACCCCCAATACAGATTAAGCTCAAGGAGGGAAAACAGCCAGTCAGGATTAAACAATACCCCCTGAAAAAGGAAGATAGGGAAGGAACTTGCCCAATAATTGAAAATTTCCTACAGCTAGGACTGCTAAAAGAGTGCCAATCCGATTTTAACACCCCTATTTTACCTGTTTGTAAACCTGATGGGTCATACCGGGTGGTACAGGATTTACGGGCTGTTAACAAAATAACCGAGGACCTTTATCCTATAGTAGCAAGTCCATAGACTTTGCTAACATGCTTAACACCAGAGCTAACTTGGTTTACCGTTCTAGATTTGAAGGATGCTTTCTTTTGCCTCCCTCTCCACGAAGCCAGCCAAAATAACTTACCGTGGCTGCTGCTCTCACCCTAGGACAGAACAAGTAACTCGCCACACAACAGTCGCAATTACATTGCATTAGCAACCGCCCGTCCCCTACCAATTACACCCTCATTAACGGCAGCCTGTTTGTCACACATAGTGCCTCAAACAGGTGCCTCTTCTTTTGTTTCCATCGCGTCGAGCAAACAACTCTGGGGGATAAAAACGTAAAATCAACCTCGGGAAAAAAAAAAAAAAAGAGAGAGAGAAAGAGAAAAGATTATCCCGATTCCCGATGCGATTCACTTACCGGGCGGTATGGTGAAACCGGGGGGCAGCTGGATGGTGGTCTGCTGTGGCGACCTCACGATCAGCTGCGGGGCCACGATCCTGGAGGCAGCGCCCAGCGCCAGACGGGGTGATAGGGCCTGGGGGGCGGTTGAAGGGGCAGCGCTCACCTTGGCAGCGCTAACCGCTAGCTTGGGAGCGGCGGGGCCCGGCGGGGTGCAGTTGGCAGTCGAGCCCTGCCCCGGTGGGGTGGCAGGCGCAGGGCTAGCGGAGGTACCGAGTGCGTTTACAGCGGAGAGCGGGCCGTGCGCAGGCTTGGTCTGTGCCGTAGCGGCATCGGCTCTGCCGTGAATGCTGGCTAATGGGACTGCCGCCAGCTGGCCCCAGGCGCCCTCCCCGTTGAGCGCCGCCTTGACGGGGAGTGACGTGGTGGCGGCGGCAGAAGCATTCTCCGCAGCTCCCTCCGGCCCGCCGCCCTCTGCCGAGGTCCCGCTACCCTCCGCGGCCTCATTGCGCTGCAGGGGCAGTACCGCGCTGTTGGCGCCGGGCGGATTGCCGCTGGGGCTCCCCGTGTCCCGGGCAGCAGCGCCAACAGCCACGTGGTTGTTCACAGACTGAGCAGGGACGCTGGCAGGCGGGGGAGCAGCGGGCTGTGGCGGTGCAAGGGCGGCGAGCGCGCCGGGGTTGTCGCCGCCGCTGCCGAGAGTCGCTCCATGTGATTGCTGCACACTACTACTGTTTACACTCGCTCCCCTCCCTGCCACCGCCACTGCCGCCGCCGGGGGGAATGGGAGCTGTCCCTGAACAGGGGCTCGGCTCTCCGCGACTCCGGGGCATCCCACCGCCGCCTCCTCCTCCTCCTCCTCCTCCGCTCCGGGAGTGGAAGGAGGCACGGGATGTCCTTGCTGCTGCTGAACGGGGCTGCTGCTCCCTACTAGGCTCCCCTGGTGCTGCTGCTGTTGGGACGGGGCGAAGGTCCTGGGCTGGGGCGCCTCGACGGAATTTTTTCCTCCTATCAGCTGCGATTCTAAAGAGCCCACCAGATCACTGACCACCTTCTCATCCACCTCCTCAGTGAAGAGCAGCATCTCTTCCAGGGGATCCGAGGAGCCCGTCGCCATCTTGCGTAGAGCTGAAAACCGGCCACACACCACGCAAGCGCACTAACCTCTACCGCACGCGAGGCATACTGGGGGGAGGCAGCTTCCTCTTCTTCCCGCCCCTCCTCTCTCCCCTTTTCGCGGCACGATGAAATCTGTATATTTCCTAAGGAGTGGCTATGGGAGGAAAAGAGCCGATGGGCGTCAGCGAAAGTATAGTCGGCTTTACCTTGGTCGCTGTGGGAAGCGACAGTATGTCTGGGCAAGTGCCTCAGCGACGCGGATGGGTGGTGTGTATCTGTAGGAACTTCTGGCAGGAAGGTTTGAGGCTTGGAGGAGACCTGCCGCCCTGGTGGAGAGGGGTGTGAGTTTGTACGTTAGAAATTGAAATGTCACGCACTCGTATAATCTTTTGGTAGAGAAGCTGTCATAATTATGTTCTTTGCCTTCACTTCATACCTTGTGAGGATGGTTGCAGCAAGGATAATTTTCTTCACGCTTAGGAAGAACTAAAAGCATGCATGTAGTCAGCTGTAGGGGCTCAGGTGCCTGAAACAAGCTCCTTCAAAAGCGGTAACTGCATGGGCTGTTGAAGCTGTTTGAAATCCTTAAGAGCACACAGAGTACGTTCAATGCTAATTTCACCTAGACAAGAATGGTTGCATACAATTTCTAATGCAGATGCTATTAACAGAAGACTTGTAAACCAAAAAAAAAGATTCTTTACATCATCACAGCAGTTGTTCTGGTCTACTGTATTCCCTCAGCATCCCCACAAGAAATTTGAGGTAATTTTGATACTAGCACTTTTGCTACTGCACTCCTATATACCCTTTTCCCATCAGTTTGCCTCATGCGTTCAGAAAAACCATTTGAGAGAAAGATGGTGGTACTAAATCATAATTACTTTGACTAATGACGAATCAGTTTCTTTGTTAGGACAAAATGATTGAGACAAATACCCATTTTACATATCAATCCTGTTACAGTAATACAAAACTACTACTACTCTCCTGGGTTCAGCAGTAGCAGTCGCTTTTCTCCTTAGTAACTGGTGCAGTGCTGTGTTTTAAGCTTTAGTCTGAGAACAATGCTAATAACACACCAATGTTTTTAGTTGTTGCTAAGTAATGTTTACTCTGACCAAGGACTTTTTAAGTCTCATGCTCTGCCAGGGAGGAGGGGAAGCCAGGAGGAAGCAGAGATGGGACACCTGACCCAAACTAGCCAAAGGGGTATTCCATACCACAGCACATCATGCCTGGTATATAAACTGGGGGGAGTTACCCAGAAGGTGGAGACTGCTGCTTGGGTCAGGCTGAGTATCGATTGGTGGGTGGTAAGCAATTGTATTCTCTTCCGTTGTTATTTCCCTTATCATTATTATTATTGGTGGTAGCAGTACTGGTTTTGTATTATACCTTAGTTACTGGAGTGTTCTGATTTCAACCTGTGGGAGTTACATTCTTTCGGTTCTCCTCCCCATCCCTCTGGGAGTGGGGGGAGGAAGAAGGGGTGAGTGAGCAAGCGGGTGTATGGTTCCGAGTTACCAGCTGGGCTTAAACCATGACAAGCGCTGCTAAGGGAAATAACAAGTAAAGATAATACAAAACTAAAAAAAGAAGGGGATAAAACCCCAATAAACAAAAAAAAACAAAAACAAAAAGCAACACACCCCCCCCAAAAAAAAAAAAACACACACACACAGAAGGAAATTTTATTGCTATGTGACTTTAGAAGATAAAAAGTAATTTTCCCACCAGAGGGAGAAAATGGGAAGTCACAATTTCTACAACATATTGCAAAACCTAAAAAAATTACCTACTTTAATTAGTTTTAAATTATACTTGTGGGTGGGTCATTTCTAAAACATTAATTCATATTTCTTCCCACTCACCTCCTCTTAATTGAGCCATTTTGTGTATATAAACACACAGAATAATGAAGTATAATAGAATAATTTAATAAAACATTTATACTGATTCACATTGGACTCTAAGTCAAGAAATTATGACATACATAATGTATGTAAACTTGTTGCTGAAGCTGGCTTTGGGCTTGTGCTTCTGTGTAGGGAATGAGACTTTTAGTATAGAATCTTGATGAACTTTTGTATCCATTCCTTTATTATAAAAATATTTTTAAATATTTACATGCTCATAGTAATTCCTATAACATGTAACTCAAATCATGGCTTACAAAAGTTTAAAGGTATGTCCATTACAATCTCCACACCTGGTCTCCATATGGTTTAACACTGCAATGAATTCCTCCCCTTGCCCCTAGGTGTGCACCTGCTCCAAGTGGTGCTCCAGCATGACCTCATGCAGAGCTACTGATGCTTCAAGGTGTACCTTCTCCAGCATGGACTCCATCCTTGAGCCACATCCCTTCAGAGGTATACCTGCTGCAGCTCAGACATAACAATGGCCATAGATGCTTTGAGATGTGTACTTGCTCTGGCATGGACTCATCTACAGCCACAGGTGTTTCAGGGTATCCTGCTCCCATGTGGACTCATCCATAGGTCATGCAGTCCCTTTGACTAGAGTTCACACTGGAGTTCCAGCCTGTCCAGTAGTACAGCAGCACAGAAACAGCAGCAATGCCCTGGCCATCTGCCAGCCCAGGGTACTGCCACTGCTGTTATCAAAATGCTCCCAGGCACAGCAGTCAGATGATAAGCAGGACAGCAAGCAGTGAAAGCAAAAACCAGTAACTAATGAGCATGACACTAATATACAGTAAGGCAAGCAAGCCCCATGGCAAACACAGCACCCTGTCAATTAACAGCTAAACAACAAACACAGCTATAAATTCCATCTAGCACATCCCCATCATATCTGTCATTATCTCAAACCCTTCGTGCATTATGTTGGGCACCAAAAAAGGACTGTCATGGTGTAATCCCACCTGGCAACTAAGCACTAAGCACCACATAGCCACTCACTCACCCTCCCACCCCCCAGTAGGATGGGGGAGAGGATTGGTAGGGTAGAAGTGAGAAAACTGATGGGTTGAGATAAAGACAGTTTAATAGGTAAAGCAAAAGCTGAACATGTAAACAAAGTGAAGCAAGGAATTCATTCAGCATTTCCCATCTGCAGGCAAGTGTTCATCCATCTCCAGGAAAGCAGGGCTCCATCACATGTTAAGGGTTACTGAGAAAAACAAAATACCATCACTGCAAATGACTGACACTGACATACACACCCCCTTCCTTCTTTTTCCCCCAGCTTTATATACTGAGCATGACATCACATGGCATAGAATATCCCTTGGGTCAGTTGCAGTCAACTGTCCCAGCTGCATCCCCTCCCAACTCCTTATTCACACCCAGCCTGCTCACTGGTGGGGTGGGGAGCAGAAAAGACCTTGACTCTGTGTAAGTTGCTCAGCAGTAACTAAAACATCTCTGTATTACCAATGCCATTTCACCAAATCCAAAACACAGCCCCATACCAGCTCCTGTGAAAAACATTAACTCTATCCCAGAAAAAAACAGGACACCTCTAAAGGAGTGAAAGAACTTAAGAAGGAGCATTATTTGCCTAGTTAAACTACATGGGTTTCTTTCAAATACACACTTTCAGTGGCTTCAAATATACAATTTAAGTATCTTAATGTCATGGTTTAAGTCCAGCCGGCAACCCAGAACCACGCAACCGCTCGCTCGCTCACTCCCTCCCTCCCCCAGAGGGACGGGGAGGAGAATAGAAAGAATGTAACTACCACGGGTTGAGATAAGAACAGTCCAGTAACTAAGGTATAACACAAAACCACTACTGCTACCACCAATAATAATAATGATAAGGGAAATAACAAGGGAAGAGAATACAAATGCTCATCACCCGCCAACAGATACCCAACCAGACCCAAGCAGTGATCTCACCCTTCCGGGTAACTGCCCCCAGTTTATATACCAGGCATGATGTGCTGTGGTATGGAATACCTCTTTGGCTAGTTTGGGTCAGGTGTCCTGTCTCTGCTTCCTCCTGGCTTCCCCTCCTCCCTGGCAGAGCATGAGACTCAGAAAGTCCTTGGTCAGAGTAAACATTACTGAGCAGCAACTAAAAACATGGGTGTTATCAGTGCTGTTCCCTGGCTGAAAGTCAAAAGCACAGCACTGCACCAGCTACCAAGAAGGAGAAAAATGACTGCAACTGCTGAACCCAGGACACTTAAGTTTACATTTAATATTAAAATGGTACCTACCAGGTTTAGATAAGGCTTTGAGGTAACTTCTTAAAATGAATTCAAGGAAGTCTTTACATATAAAATTGAAATTCACTTTATGCTATAAAAATATTCTTTCAACTGCTGATTTTAAGCATGAATTAAAAACCGTAAGTTCCACAAACTGGAGAGCACCAAGAAGGCTAAAGTATCCAAAGGGTATTCTAGAAACGTGTCTAAATTTAGTTTCATGTACTTCAGTTGCAAGTAACTTTTATATATATATATACATATCTTATAGAAATTTAGGAGCTTTTGTTTTGAAGTTAATCATCATTGCAAATATTTGACTGCACTCACCTAGACAGGACTTGATGTAAAGCTTTATTTTCTGCTGAGTTACAAATATTGATTTTCAACAGTGGACTCCCACAGACTTGACATGGTCATGTATATCCAGTAATTAACTGCACAACTTTGTTCAAAAAATCTTTCAGTTCGTCCAGGACATGCTAGAAGCACATCACAGCAAAGCTCCCCGAGTACACAATTTCTCCATGACTTTACAGTCAGTTGATCTTGGGCATAAAGTCTCTGTAAATCTAATACAGCTCCTATTTAGAAACCTGCAGGCTCTTCCAGAAAAATCTGGCTTGTTATTGTGCTTCAAAGCCCTATTCTGAGCAAAATACTTGCTGAATCTTTGCAACATGAGTGCCCAGTTGCTGTAACAAAAACTATTAAGTGCCCTTTTCCAGAAGTTAAGCTTGTTGCATGCAATTTTCTAGGCTGTAAATATACAAAGGGCACCCAAGGCAGTACGCTTTAACAGGCAAAGCCTCCAACAGGAGGCCCCATTTGTGATTTTTATTTAAGGTGAATGACCTAAAAATAATCTCAAAATCATTATTTTCTGTGTGTTTACTTGTACTAAAACAATATT